TGCTCCCCTCTCTGTCTCTGGTGAAGCCTCTCACCGCCCCTGAGCCTCTGGCCTGTACCCCAGTTCTGTATGTACAAATAAATAAATCTTTAAAAAATATATATATATATAATTTAATTGCACAGTGTGCATAATCAGAATCCCTTTTTTTAAAAAAACCTATGTACATGTTGTCTCTAGTTTTTGACCTGTAGCTATGCTTCAATAACCCAAACTAAAAATTTTAAACTTGCCAATGTTTCATGATGTTTTGTTAGCCTATTTGAGAAGCAAATAGATATTAATACATTTGCCAGGAGTCCCATCATTAAGCTATTTACAAGACTTTTGACCAGACATTTTTCTTTAATGAACATCCCCACTTGGGGAAAAAAATAGATTGCTAATGCTTTCTGTATATATGTAGATATCTATACGTACACAACATTGTGTATCATTTATTTTGAAACAATTATTACAAATATACATTTATACAAATGTAATTTTTCATATTCAATTTATAATTGTTAAAACTATAAAAATATATAAACTAAATGTATAGAAATTATAAATCACAGGTTTTTTTAAGTATGTAATGTAATGTAATTATATAAAAATATGCAGTAGTTCCCCTCACCATTTAAGGGGTATGTTCTGAAACCTCAGTGAGTATCCAAAACAACTAAACCCTATATATGCTATGATTTTTTGTGTGTATATTCATAAGGTTTCATTTATAAATAAATCACAGTAAGGCACAACTAATAAAAAACCAATAATTATGGCTATGTTGTAATGGCAGTTGTGTGGCTCTCACACAGCCTCCTCTTCTCCCCTTAAAATAGCCTACTACAATGATGGGAAGCACACGGGGATTACAACTGAGATGGAAAAAGGCACTAAATGATGTAAAAATAAACTATTATGTTACTTTTTTAAAAATAGTCTACTGTACTTAACATTTTAGACTAGTTGAACACAAGTAACAAAAATCTTGTAAAATAAACTGCAAATTAGAAGTGACTATTGTACTGTATATCTTAGTGTATGATACAGAAATATATAATGTAAATATATTGTATGCAAATAGATATGTAATAGATAAGTGTATATTTTTCCTACACTTACCACCTCAATATCAAATCCCCATTATATTGTTTATCACTACTATGCTCATAAGCCTTTGATGACACTTGCTATTTGTTATCTTAAAAAAAATGTTCAAATTGCTTAGCTGGACAAGAAAGACTGTTAAAACCCAGACATAGCTAATTTTAATTTCCACATATTAATTTCCACATTTCTGTAGAGAAGCTAATTTTAATTTCCACATATTCCACAAAATTATTTGTTCTTTCCCTACCTCCTTTCCAATGCAGTTGAGTATTTTTTAGAGATGAAACCAATCTTACTTAAGACAGAATGTTATTGGTGATTATGAGATAGAGTTATAAATACAAAATTTTATCTGTTGCTCTTCACAATCATTTGCTGTGAGCTGCTGCTTCTGTGAAGTATTTCCTAGTTCACTACCCAGAGAGAATTTCATCTTACTCTGTATACCGTCTGTTGTGCATTTTTAGTACTTACCATAGTTTTACTTATAATTATAAAATATGCTATAAATAATAATATGTTAATATTTATTCTTCACTATATTTTAGTCTGACAGAAGGAGTGATTCAATATTCATGAAAAGAATCTGATTGTTTTCATGCTTCCAGAGTACTATCACAATTGCTTTTTATCTGATCCTTGTGATTACCAGATGTTTCCAGAAGATGGCACTCTTTTACACAGCTCATCGACATTTGTAACTAACATTAGGAAACTGTTCTAATCCGGTGTGTAGATTTTGTTCAGGTTCAGGAAGAAAGTAACCAAACTTATATATTATGTAAGAGGAAGCATTGTGAAAAATCCAATGTCTAGTTTTTGATCTAATGATAAGAAATTGTCATATCCAGTTTTAGATAAATATGTATAGCATATATATAATAGAGAATTTAGAGATTTGGCTTAGGGTATAAAGTACCCTACCTCTATTTGAAATTACCTCAATTATAAATTACCTCTATTTGAAAGGAGTATTTTTCATATAGGCTTATCTGTATTGCGAATGGTATGATTATATTTTTAAAAAATATATACGCTTGTTAAAAATGGATTTTTTTTTTTTTAGTGGAAAAATGCCTCTGGTGTTTGCAGGGTATGCTATTTTTAAGACCTTAAAAATTGATTCAGTGACTATTTTGATGGAAATATGTTAAGTCAAAAATCACTTTTATTCCATTTCATCTTACCACCATACAACATAGAATTACTCTCTCTAGTCATAGAGCTACTATTAAAATTATAGTAATCACGGTAAAGGATTTTATTCACAGCATGTAAATGAAGTTTCTCAAATATTGGATGTGGTCATCATTTCCTTTTATTTAAAGTTCCCTTGTTTTGGTCAGATTTTGTAAACATCCTAAGTTTGTTTTAGTAAAAGTAAATTTATGGGGCCCTCTCTGGTGGCGCAGCGGGTTAAAGCACTGCACTAAGAAGCTTAAGCCAATTCCGCCTGAGTTCAATCCCAGCCTGCCCCAAAATCCCGCCTGCTCTGGAGGAGATCCACATTGCGTGGCGGACCTCTCCTGACCCGCCCGCTGCTCCCCTCAGCAGTGTACTTCGTAGATCTGCCTGTTCTGCTCCCCACTCTGTTCCTGGTGAATCCTCTCACCCTCCACATCTCTGGCCCGTACCCCAGTTCTGTATGAATAAATAAATAAATCTTAAAAAAAAAGTAAATTTATGATAAGATACTATATGTGTACCTTAATTTTCATTTACTTAACAATTTTGTGTTCTCATTTATGTTTCTGTAGAGAAGTTTCTTTGTGTCTCTTTTATATGTTATCTCCATTGCCTAAGGATTGGGTCCTAAGATACTGTTGATGGATGGATGATCCTGGCAATATATTATTCATACTGGATTACTTTGTTTATAACTTGAGTCTTCTAAATTAAGCAAATTTTCTGCTTCAGAAACCATATGAACTTATTGATACCAGATCATAATGATATGAATGAATAGAATGAATAGTGAATAGAAGATTTTGGGGTTTTTAATTTATTTTTTTTTTTTAAGATTTTTTTTTTTTTTCATACAGAACTGGGGTACAGGCCAGAGATGCGGAGGGTGAGAGGATTCACCAGAGACAGAGCGGGAGCAGAACAGGCAGATCCACGAAGTACACTGCTGAGGGGAGCAGCGGGCGGGCCAGGAGAGGTCTGCCACGCCATGTGGTCACCTCCGGGGCAGGCGGGAATTGAACTCATGCGGAAGCGGCTTTAGATTCTCAGTGCTGTGCTTTAACCCGCTGCGCCACCAGGGAGGGCCATTAATTTATTGTTTTATTTATTTATTTTTGCATAGACAAACTGTGGTATCACCTAAACAGAGGTTCTGGGATGAGGTTGTGTTGAGAGGATTCATCACTGACAAAATGGGGAACAGAACAGGTGGATCTTCTGAATACACTGCTAAGGGTAGCAGAGGGTGAAACAGGAGCGGTCTGCTGCACCATATGTGGGTTAGCTCCCTGGCCAAGGATCAAATTCATGCTGTAGCAGTATAAAGCTGAGACTTAAGCTTGAGGCCACCAGTGAGGCCCAGATTTTGGCCTGTTCTTGGTTTTATCTTACAGATCTGTTATAATCAGAGAACAACATAGGCCATTTTATCTTTAGATTTGGGAATTTACTCAGTTTATGTGACCTAATAATACATTTACTTATTTCAAAGTTCTTTTAGCTAGTTAATATTAATTACTATGTATATTTTTAAACAGCAGTACAGATTTTTATTATCTATCTAGTATATCAAGCCTGTGAGTTGTAATTTACAAAGTTGTCCTCGACAGAAGGAATTAGCCTCTAAACTTCTTGAATTAGCCTCTAAACTTCTTTGTCCTCTTACTCTTATTCATCTTTTTCTGCCCAGGTTATTCCAATCTCATATCCTTTGTGCTTTTTCTTCCCTTTGAAGGTTTTTATATTTCACTCCACTTTTAAATATTCTTTCTTTAGACTGACTTTCACTCACTATATTATACAAAGTGGGGCCCTTCCTATAAATCATCCTTTATGTTATTACCCTATTTTACTTGACTCATGACACTTACTGATATTGACTACTGAAATTGCCTAATTTGTTCACTTTTGAGTTTTTAGTTGTCTTTTCCTCCACTGAAATGTCAGTTCCACTAAAAAGTCAATAATATCATTAAGATAATTTAATAGTTTGGGAAACTTTCCCTTCATGATAATGGAGTAGTTGTATTTTGGTTCTCAAGAGTTCATCTGTAAGGAAATATACTCAACTATATGTTACTATGATATGGAGATTGTTTTAATGTATGATAGGGGTAGTAAGCATTCTATAGTAATGAAAGCAGAAATCTTCAAAATTAACAAAAAATTTAAAACATGGAAATAGTTTTACATTTTACATGGGTATATAGCTCAAAATATTTAAATATCATGCAGCCCTGTCATTTTAAAATTTAAACGTGTAGAACACTAGAAGCATCTTCCTCAATTATCTTAGAATTTTGTGTTTTTATATTTGGAATATTGAATTTAAAAATAAATAGCATTTTTTTTAACTACTAAAATTACAAATTATAAAACTTACACTAAAATGTAACTCATGTTTACCTTGTTACTTTTTTTAGGAGACAAGACATTTAATATGGTTTTCTAGTTCAAGAAATCTACTAATTGCATTTCAATTATCATGTATCATCTCAATGGATCATTGAGATGCCAGGTTTAGAACAGGTTTTTCCCTAAGTTATCTGTTTTTTAGGCTTCTATTATTATTGTTTTTCCTGGGTGAGGGGTGTCTTTTTTTGTTACAAATGTCTTATGTTCTTTATTCATTAAAACTTACTTTAAACTTTCTGAAAATTCACTGTAGTTGAATCTATCTGATATATTCATCAAGATAATCCATATCGTATAGGTTGAATCCACTCAGAGTATGATAAGGATTCTTGGACTCTCAGCCACATTACCCAACTATTTGGATGTCGCTACATTTTTACATGTTAATCCCTACATTGGACTTTTCTTCTTTGATGGCCGTTTTCGACCAGTTCCTCTTGGACAGACATTTTTGGGGGTTAAAAGTGCAAATAAGGTAAATAACTGTTTTAATAATTATACCTTTCTAAACATATTTTTATTGATGTATTGTTGAGTAGTTTGGGATTAGAGACTCCAAAAGGCCATTTCAATAGCACTTCAAATGCAGCATCCTAGGCAAAATCAGGCAAACTCTGTGTACTAGAGTAACTCCAAACCCAGAAATTAGGGTGTCTTACTTTGTGTTACTATTTTTAACATGTATTTTATATTTGTGGCTCTTTAAAGTGTCAGCAAGTTATTTTCATATTATTGAAGATTGCATGAAATAATAAAAGACCTCTTTAACCTAGTAATATATATTTTTACATATTATTTAAAAGTAATATTACCTTATACGCAGTTATACCTTAGCAATAATATCGTACTAAACATTTGCAGAGGTATGATGTTGTATCTTTGAATCAGATAGTGTTGTAAACCAATGTTACCTCAATAAAAATAGCTAAATTAGTCAATCCTTTATTTAATGAAAAAATGATTTATACTAGCAATCATTAAAAGATGCTCTATTAAACTTACAACCTTTCGTAATTACCATATTAAACATATGTATATAGCATCTCTAAGATTCTTTATAGGGCTATAAAATGTTTGTTCAGTTTCTTAAATTATATTACCATGGACCATTTCACTATTAGTATGACTATTTTAAACATTTATTCCAAATTATGATGGAATATTTCCTTAAAATGTATAACATTTATTATTCTGTTTAATGATACATTGTTTTGTTGAAGAAATTATTTTAGGACGATTCATAGGTCATTTTATTTTTTTGCTAAAGCAAGATAGAAATCATTTGTTAATATGGCAAATTACTTCTTGTCTACAAACTATTTTAATAGTAAAGTAGGGATATTTTTACCTGATATTGCTGTAAATAAAATATATCAGAGGGACTATCTCTGTGACAGTTGACATACCCCGTCTACAATGTAGATAGTGGAGGATTTTTCAGACTTATACATGAAAGTATAGTTCATGAAATGGTGATAGTTAAAATATGCAAATTTTAACCTTCATTAGTTATTTCAAACTTTTCAGTATTGCTGCCTATTTAGCAGTCATAATTATATATCTGTATATATAAAAAATATATAAAATGTCTATATTATGTATATATAAATTTGTTTATTAAGTTTATTTTAATATATCATTAGGACAGAGGTAGAGTTGTTTACTTATAGCTTCAGAGTGGTCTTTTAATCTTTTAATAGTGTTTCATATTGTTTCATTTTAAAAGATGGTTATCATCAAAAGATATAAAGGAAAATTTTCAGATACTTGTCAGCCACCATAAATATTTTTTTCTTTTAATATCATGATACATATTGCTAAACCATTTAAAGCTAATTAAATCCAAAATAGTTTTTTACTACTCATGTTACAATGATAAAATGAATGGTGTTAGATGAACTGTCATTAACTTGAAGGTTTAGAAAATTTGCCAAAATTAAAAAATTTTCACACAGTTTACGTTATAAAATAGTATTATATATATATCGGTTATAAATACATATTTTTATCTGATTAAAATGCATTATTTTTCCACTATGCTCATATGTACAGTTTGTCACCGTTAAGCATTTCTCCAGTATCATTTAATATATTTTCTAACCTTTTGTTAATTTTTCATTTCGTATAAAAAGAAATCCTTGTTAGTTTCTCAGAATGGGGACTAACGGGATTATGTCACCTGACCTAGTTATTATAAATGTCATATATCCAATATATCAAATGTCTTACCTAAATTTCATATATCTGAGGATGTGTGGACCAATATCCCTTAATCACACCCAGTATTGTAAATCAGTATTATCTTAATAAAAAACAGTACAGTTTTAAAGTTATATATTTTTAAAATACTTTATTAGAGCAAAAAAATCATAGTAATTAATTATAATTAAATGTGTAAATCATAGTAATAACAGAAGTACATGGCATTTTTCATCCCTTCCAACTTCCTAATAAATGTAGAGAAATAAAGTCATTTGCTACTCCTTTGGGTTAACCTAAATCTTCCACTTTTTTGGTTGAAAGTTTTCTCATCATTCACAGGGAGAACTGAGAAGGTTAATTTAATGAATTTGAATAGCATTTCTGTATAAAAGCATTGACCTTCTATATAGCTATGGTAGAAATAGTATTTTTTTCCTTGATTTCAACTTTATTTTCCATCACAATTTATAAGTAGCATTCTGTTGACTTTGAAAATTATACAGGAAGACTTGAATGATAACTTATAGAATGAAATAGAAAAAGTCTGAAAAGGGGTCTTCTTTGGGGAAAACAGATATAAGAACTTAAAAATTGAATAATTTGTAAACTATAATAGCATATTGTCCTTAAAGTTATTGTCTTTAAAAAAACACTTAGCACTCTGAAATTACTGTATGAGGTACTTCATTTTTATTTTTTCATTAAATTGTATTTGTTTCTTACTGGGCTGATATATGTTAGATATTTATATTTCTTTTTTTCCCCTGCATTCCAGCTAGTCTGAAAGCTTAATAAAGGAGCTTTGTAATTGGCACCATGTTGTTTAAAGTTAGAAAAATGTATATTGCTTCATTTCATATTTTTCACTTTCTAAAACTTTTAAGGTGCAACAATTAAATAACATGGATGAAGTATGCTATGAAAGTGTTTTGAAGCAAGTAAAGGCTGGATACCAGGTATTTATTTTTTTATCCTGTTTTAGAGACTGCTTAATTAGTACAATGATTACTTGTAAGGAAATTATTCTTCAGAAAAATTCTGAAACTGTATCTAATGTTTTATTAAATTTTTTAAGCACAGTGGGTAACTATAATATAGAGAATATTCAGATAATTTTATCTTTCTGATATTGATATTCCATTGTATTTGATCATGTTGATTTTATAGGGTAAGAGAATAATTTTATATTACATTTCTGTTTCTTTTAAACATTTTGTAAACACGCCAAAGATTTCCCTTTGTATTTTTCTCAACAGTGTAAAATTGTGAATATTATAATGTTCTTCCTTTTTCCAAGTGATATCAATTGACATTAACTTTCATTCTTCCATCATATTTGCACTAGATTAGTAGGTATTATGTTACATTACTATGGAATATAAGATTGTTTTCAAAGACTGAATCACTTTTTAGCAGTAAAAACTAAGAATTTTTGTGAGCTCTTAGTGAAACTGATAAATGTGTATATTCATGTATAAACATATATATGCTCTTACATAGCTGTAAATACTAAATAATATATCACTTAATAATGCCATGACTGCCGGTACTGCAGTCATTTTGAGGCGTTAGGAACTACAGATCACTCATGTTTGGAGCAGTATAACATTTATCATGCCATTTATAATTTATCATGCCTATACCCCTAAGAAAGAGTAGAGAGCAGAACAGGCCAACTGATGAAGTACATTGCTGAGGGGAGCAGTGGGCTGGTAAAGAGCGGTCTGCCACACCATGTGGATCACCTCCCCGTCAGGGGATCGAACTTGGCTGTGGCTCGAAGTAGGCTGTGGCTCGTTTGCAGTATTGTGCTTTAACCACTTGTGCCACCAGAGAGGGCCTGATATATTACTATTTTTGTTCTGTACATTTCCTACTAGTTTTTTCATCTGTTTGTACATGTAGGTTTTTGTTTGTTTTAAAGATTTATTTATTTATTCATACGGAACTGGGGTACAAGCCATAGGTGCAGGGATTGTGAGAGTCTTCACCAGAGACAGACTGGGGAGCAGAACAAGCAGATGTACTAAAATACACTGCTGAGGAGAGAGGCAGGAGGGCCAGGAGAGGTCTGCCATGCCATGTGGATCACCTCCAGGTCCGGGTGCAGGGCCAGTGAGAGGATTCACTGCCACCAGCTACTGCCAGCTTGCAGCGCTGCATCCCAATCTGTTGTGCCACCAGGGAGGGCCTGTACATGAAGTTTTGTTTTGTTTTTTTAAAGATTTATTTATTTGTGCATACACAACTGGAGTACAGGTCAGCTTTGCAGGGGCCATGAGAGGATTCACCAGAGACAGAGCAGGGAGCAGAACAGGCAGATTGTTGAAGTATACTGCTGAGGGGAGCAGCAGGCAGGTGGGGATGAACTCTTGAGGAAGTGGCTTTAGCTTCTCAATGCTATGCTTTAACCCTGTGCACCACCAGGGAGGGCCCGTACATATAGCTCTTAGGTGCTCATTCAAAATTAACTTAATTAGCTGCAGAATAAAATGTTTTCAGTTTTCTTTTATTAAAGATTGTGCTGCTCTAGTGATATCTTCCTGCCTCTCATTTTTTCTGTTGAAGCATTTACTAAGGATAAATTCCCTAAAATAGAGTTAAAACACAAATTACCACATTGTCTTATATACATTCTGAATAGCTCATAACATTTCATTATCATAATAGACTTTCACGGGATTTATAACATATGCAACATTCTTCTGAGTAGTTTTACCAATGTAGTGTGATATAAAGTTATAATTTGATGTGTTTGCCATTTTGTTTTATAATCTTGTGGCATATAAGAGAGAGTGACAACATATACATGAAAACATGTTTTTGGCACCATATTGTTTATGCTCTGCTTTGCATCGGTATTTACGTAAAATTAGAAAAATATGTCCTTTGGTTCATACTGTGACCTTAGGGTTTTTGACCTCTGTAGTTATATTTTTAAAATGTAGTTTTAAGTATGATTACTATACAAGAAATAGAGTAGGAAGAAGTTTAAACAAATTGAAATCTTGGGCATACCAAAAAGCAAAAATGAGAGGAGAGAAAATACTGCTAATTCACTGCCCAGAGATAATTTCTATTAGTAAATATCCTTTATATATTTTTAAAATGAATTTTATTCCCTTAATTTCCTATCTTTTCTGTTATTCCTATAGTTTTCTAATATATTTTTCCATCCATAAATATGACAGAAACATAAATAGAAACAATAACATTAAAATGTACATAAACAGGGCCCTTCCTGGTGAGGAAGCACAGCACCATGAAGCTATCACAGCCACTGCAGCAGGAGTTCAATCCCCTGGCCAGGGAGGTGACCCACATGGTGCAGCAGACCTCTCCTGTCTCACCCACTGCTCTCCTCAGCACTGTATTTCAGTACATCTGCCTGTTCTGCTCCCCACTCTGTCTCTGGTGAATCCTCTCACCTCTGGCCTGTACTCCAGTTCTGTATTATAAATAAATAAAATCTTTAAAAAAATAAATAAAAGGAAAAGAATGGCAAAGTGGAAAGTCTTACATAAACAATTAGATGAAATGTTGGATTATACATAATCCTAAATAATATTGATTTATAAGGAAATATTGTTGAATAAGTTTCCATGCACATGGGATCTCTGTGGTCGATATAATTTGATTATGGTGAATTACCTTATCTTCAAAAATATAGTATCTTTGGTGAGATGGGGTCAAGGGGAAATATTAAAAGCACCAGGACTTTGGTCCTGTAGTTGGTATTTACCTCTAGTGTTGATGGTCTTACAAATCTATTTGCCAGCAACTGCAGATTATAAATACTGAGTCATCAAGCTAGTGCCTTAGTTTTTCACATTAATATAATCACAAATTAAGGGCTTTTAGGCAACATAATTTGAGAACATTTTCTGGTTTGTTTTTTTTCCTCTAAGTTACCTCTGTTAATGTGTGTAACTTAGGAAAAGCTGGCTCTATCTAAAATCTTTTTTCATTTCAGTCATTTCAAAGAGATCATTTTGTCTATAACTCTTCTGCTTGCAAGTTGCTCTGCCAAGTACTATTTGGCCTGTAAATTCACTTAGCTTGATAAGTGGCAGCTTCTATGGATTACCTTTGTAATATGTCCAGAACTCAAACTAGAGTGTGGATACTTGGAAAACAGGATTATGCCACATTTTAATTTTGGAAGCTGAGATAGACCCCCATTCCCAAAACTAGCAGCCCTTGATTTAATTAATCACCCACAAATTGTCCTTCACAGTAGTCTCTGATTACCAGGCTAATGTGGAAATTTATTTTAAGGTGTTTGGAACCCCTCCCAGGATTATTTTCCCTTTTTTTTTCTCCTTAAAAGAATACATTTACTAAGTGGTGGTGTCAGGTGCTCTGCTTATATTAGAAAGCTAACAGAACTTCCTAGTAGAATAATTTCTGAGTTGTGTTTTTTTCCTTCATAATTGAGGTTGTGTATGATGTCGTCCCAGCCACTGCCTGAAATGTTCCAAGTGATACATTTCAGCAACTGAATTTTTAAATATCCACCTGTAAAAAAAAAATTAAAAGATAATTAATTCAACAGTCTTTTCATCTTATTGTTGAAAATTTGACAGCAAAATTAATTCTTCAGTTGTATTATTCTGCCCAAGTCTGTCTGAAAGACCTGTGTGCTTTATTGTAAGAAACGTTTAATGTTTTGGGACATACAAGTAAAGTGTGTATTTGTGTGCACACATACCCTCACACATGCATGCCTGAGAGAGAGAGACAGACTGACAAAGAACTTTGCTTCTGGAATTCAGTTATAACTGACTGCACATTAATGCATTGCTATTAAGCAGTCAACTACCCATTCATTAAATGTGCTTTTCCTTGTTTTTAAAAATGTAAGTTATTTCTTGTGGGTCTTTTGACTTAACAAGCTTTATTTGTTGCCTTTTAAATATACATATTAGTAGTTACTGCACAGTAGTAAGAAATTACAAATCAGTCTATTGTAGTCTAAGAAGACTAATTTAGTTTACCCTGCTATGATAACGTGCCCCTTTTCCCTGCCAACCAGTTATGCTTCCAGTGAAAATGCCTTGATTTGATTTTTTTGTTTTCTTGCCTTCAGGTTCTATAACCTTTTTTCCTATGTTGAGCTCCCAAAATGCTTTGATTTTGCTAAAGCATTTGTTTTCAGACCATTATTAATAATAAAAACATTTATACTCCAAAAAAGAGTGTAACTCTTGAGTAGATAACACTTACCATATTCAAAATTAAGTTTCTTTTAGAATATATAGATGACTTCATTTTGTTTTCTTCACTTAGATTAAATTAGAAAAGAACTAACTTCCATCTTCAAAAGCCATGCTGGTATTCTCTGATCATACTATTCCATAGATTTAAGTGTACCAATCATCCAAACTTGTGTGCTTGTGTACTTAATAGATTTTATGTGCAACTTTGCCTTGAAAGTATTAAAAACAGTAGGAGGCAGTTGTGTTCCACTCAAGCATGTGTGATGACAGATGGAGAAAATCTTTTCATGTTGACTTTTCAACAGTCATACTCTGCAAGACTTCAAGCTCTTCTTGGCTATTGGGAAATTAAAAGTTGGCGATTCAGCCTTTAATTTTGATCCATCTGCTCAAACTAATGAGACGTCTCATTTGTAAGCTCCTCTTTGCGTTACCAAGTGCAACTACAGCTTTATCATTCCTGTTAATAATTCCCCTCCTCCTGTGTAACTTACAGAATGAGAAAATAATTGATGCCTTAATACTAGAGATTTTTCTTGTTATACAAACTTTTCAACAAAAAATAATAATTAGAAATTGCCTCAGAGATTATGACATAGTTTGTTCTCGTTGACACACTATCAAAAATGTTAAGATTTATTCAGTAGTTTCTTAACAAAATCTTTCCCCAATTTCAAGAATAAAAGGTTTTGCAGTGATAAAGGGGAAAAAAATCATCTTCACCGTTGTATCATTGC